AGACTATCACTCACCCACACCAGATGGAAAACTCTACAGACTGTCGGTTCACACCCCATCACAAGCCAGCAAAACATCCACGAAACAAAGAAAGGTCTGTCATATATATTGTCACATTGTGAATCAGAGCGCAAAAAAGGGAAAAGAAAAAAGGAAAAGGAAACAAGGGGAAGGGGAAGGAGGTATATATATATATATATATATATATACGAACCTCAGGGTATCAGTTGTCGCGCAGTCGCTGATGCATAACCACAGCCGGGGTTAAGGTGGATTATCACTTGCAGTGTAATCAGTTAGGGGATTCTGCAGACTGTTGAGGGTTCAGCCTCCTGATGAGTCAGTGGGTGAAACTCCGACGAAACTGTTTGTCACAGCCCCTCGTTTGTTGTCCTCTTCTCCCTCTCTGCCTACGGTTTACCGGGCACAGCTCTGTTTGACTATCTATGTATCGTCAAACAGAAGTGCCCGGTAAACCGCTGGCGGAGAGGGAGAAGATGACATATTGTACGCAAGAGGTTCTGAACAGGGGGAGTTGTAAGTAAGAAGATAAAAAAGGAATTGATATATCTTTTTTGTTTCCTTTTGTTTTTTTCGCTTTTGCGCTCTGATAACTTTGTGACAATATATATGATGCGCGCGCGCGCGCGCGCGAGAGAGAATTGTAGAGGAAACCGACAGAAAATTTGCTGCTGATAGTCCGATTCAGGCCAGAAGAAACAAAAAAAAAAAGATAGAGTGAGTGCCATACGTAATCGCTGCGCCGTCAGACCAACAAGGGCAATGATGACGATTGCAGTTGCTCACTGACATCTGCAGTTGCTCACTGACATCTGACGAAAACTCCGTCTGGTGGAAGTGTTTCTGAGACATGCTTCCGGAGTTGCGGTGCTTCTGGTGCTTCGTGTGCAACATCGTAAGCCGAATTCGAAATCTACGTCCAATTCTGCTGCATGCTTGGACAACACCTGTCTGTTCTTTCCTGATGTATATCATCAGATCATCAGATTATTACTTATACTTATCGGTAGGTGGCTGCTATTCAGATTTTGTTGAGGGTTCACCGCATCCCCGAGGATCGGGGTGACTGCGGTGAAAGTCCGACGAAACAGTCTGTTACACCTATGGATGGTTCGTCGCCCACTGTCACACCTATGGATGGTTCGTCCCCCACTGTCACACTTATGGATGGTTCGTCGCCCACTGTCACACCTATGGATGGTTCGTCGCCCACTGTCACACCTATGGCTGCCCGCCGTCACCCATTCGCACCCCATGGCTCAGCTGGTGGTGCTTTTTTTTTTCTTTTTCTTGTTTTTTCTTTCAGGGAGGCTATGGTATTATCAGCTGGCGGTTCGTTGTGGCAATATAAGCCTATTATGTACAGTCACTTTATACCGGGCCTCCTGATGAGTCGGTGAAACTCCGACGAAGCAGTTTGTCACAGTCCTCTTTTGTTGTCCTCTTCTCCCTCTCTGCCGACGGTTTACCGGGCAGTTTTGTTTGACGATATACATATGTGCATATATACGATATATATTATTGTGTGGCAGACACTGTCATTTTCTAACAAGCCGCGGTTGCCATGTAAACGCTTCCTTCTTGAGCCTGTTCATCCCCTTTTTTTTTTCTTTTTTTTTTTTCGTTTGATAGGTAGTACTAATAGTGTGTTGCAGAGTAGTACAAACAGTCACAGGGAACGCGAGTTCCATCCAACCGCTGGGTAGGTTGGATTGGGTGCCAAGAGTAGGCCCCATCAGTAGGAGTTTAGTGTCAGGAGTAGAGGACGTAGCTGTGCTGTGTTATAAGTAGAGTAAGCAGTTGATTGGAAGGAGATAGTATTCGTCTGTTCGAAGCAGTGGTGAATATCAATCTGTGGTTCTAGTAGCGTTAGACTCAGAGGTTGGAATAGCAGGCCAGAAGACTACTTTAGTAGAAAGGAACGTTAAGGAAAAACAAAGTTCTGTAATCAAGTGGTGTTAAATAGGGCATTGGATTCACTCAGTCCTGAGACTGTAAGCTAAACTGGCTGATGCTGCCAGGATAACTTCCGGGTTGAATTGTGAGGTCCCCGGCCTCTGTGGATTTTTTGGATTAAAAAAAAAAAAAAAAAAGTGTGTTGCTGAAGGGGACAGGTCAGGTCTGACTCAGAGCAGGACTTGACTGTATTTGACCATAATTACTTGTAAATACATCCGAGGAAAGTTCCGGTGCGAGCGGTGCCCCTGCACTAAAAAAGCTGGAATTACAAAGAACGGCCTGAACTGCGCATCAACATGGCTCTTGGATTTTTTTTTGCTTTTGGAAAATCACCTACCAAGAGCTGCGATGTACTAAGAAAAAAAAAAAAAAAAAAAAAAAAAAAGGGAGCTGCGATGTACTTGTACATATATCTCCCTCTCTGCCTACGGTTTTACCGGGCAGCTCTGTTTGACGATATATATATTGTCACAAAGGTATCAGAGCGCAAAAGCGAAAAAAAAACAAAAGGAAACAAAAAAGATATCAATTCATTTTTTATCTTCTTACTTACAACTCCCCTTGTTCAGAACCTCTTGCGTACAAGGCCGCCCACGTGGATTGCCTGCCGCACAATCATTTTGTAATTATGTATGGGACACTTGCTGTATGTAATCCGTTGTAATTGATCTCTCTCTATATGTAGGAATAAGGGTTTTCTGCTATCTGCTAAGTAGTATATAGTTTTTTCCTTTTTTTCCTGAAAAAAAAAAACAGAACCTTACGGTTCTGGCTCCGTGTCCATACTAGGGAGCAGCAGTCGGGTACCTATTCCACCGGCAATTCAAAAAGATTACATCTTGCACTCACCCAACGCTCCTCCCCATTATGGCTGGAAGGCCCGAGTGGACGGCATTGATTACTTCCACAGGAAGGATGTACCACCCCTCGCCCCTGTCCATTCTAGCCTTATTGATCTGGTCACGGAGGTGAACGACTACAGACACCCCTCCCCCCTGTCTATTCT